CACACACACACACACACACACACACACACACACACACACACACACACACACACACACACACACACACTCTGCAGGAACAGTCTGAACAGTAAAATATTTCCTCTCAGAAACCTCGGATGATAAAATGTGATCTGTTTTCTGCAGACAGACGATCCTCTGTTACTTCATCTGCTTATTATCTCGTCAGTTAATCATTAATTATTCGTTTGGTGCATCAGAGCCGAGGAGGAAGTCTGTTTTTTATATTTATAGTCTCTTTACTGTGACATGAAGCAGAGAACGTGTGAAGGTTCACTGATGATGAACAAATCATCAAATAAGAAAGTGAAGCTGCTTCAGGCTCTTTTTCTTGAGCTGGGCAGTGAAGACGGATCAGGTCGAGTTAGTATAAGAAGCTTTTACAGGTTTTTTAACTTCGGAGCAGTTTCCACCTGAAGGCTTCAGGTTCTTTATGTTGCACATTAAAGTGTGACGGAGGAGCAGAGGGACGAATGTGTTCACGTCTTTTAAAAACAACAGAACGCTTGTTACCGTCGTTTGACGTCTGATCTGCAGCAGCAGCTGTGATTAACCCTCGGAACAGATCTTTGTTTTCATGATCCTGTATTTACAACATTCATTGTTATTGCAGCAGAGGGTGGAGGCCTCCGTCTTCTCCCTCATCAGGTTGTAGGTTGTTTACAGTCGAGGTCAGAGGTTAACTCACTACTGGAGTCCCTCAAGGTTCTGTCCCGGGTCCTCTCCTCTTCTCTCTGTACACCAACTCTCTCACTCACATAGCTTTTCTTACCACAGCGACGCAGATGAACCAAACTAACTAATCCTCTCTGAAACACAGGAAGCAGCACGAATCTCTTCCTGTCTCACTGACGTCTCTCAGTGGACGTCTGCACACCACCTGAGAATTAACCAAGACCGAACTACTTTTCACCCAGACTGCTCAGAACCTGGGCGTGACACTCGACAGTCAACTGTCCCTTACTGCCAACATCACTGACAGATACATGCCGCTCAACATCAGGAGAACACGTCCCCTTCTCTCTGAAGGTTCTGCTCCAGGCTCTGGTCATCTCACGTCTACACTACTGCACCTCCCTCCTGCCTGGTCTACCTGCTGGTGCTATCCGACCGCTGCAGCTCATCCAGTACATCTAGTACTCGTGTACCGTCCCTCGTGGCTGATGCACTTATTGCGAGTCGCTCTGGATCAAAGTGATGTTATAATCATATGTAATAAAAGGGACATTTTGAGGATCCATGTTACTTTCACTTCCTGACGATGTCGTTATCTCAGACACAAACAGAATCCACTTGTAGAGACAGATGCTGCCGACTGAGCTCCGTTCAGAGTCCTGGTGTTTTCAGGTTTCCTTCAGTGTCACTGCGATGCAGTGGCAGTTACCTGTGTAACCCGGGGTTCACCGCAAACAGGAGCTGATCATTAATTCGGCAAACTAATATTTTCACTATAAAACCTCGTGGCCTGAAGCGTGGCTCGGACTCCGCTACTTTTCTGCTGCTCCCAAAAGAAAGAATCTCACAGTGGAGGACATTGAACCTGATTTCATACCTGTGCAGTGTCCGTAACGTCTTCCCGCCACGCTGTCCAGCACAGTGAGGGTCAGGTTGTCTGGTGTGTCGGGGTGAAGAGGAGTCCCGCCTCCTCCGCTGCTGCCTCCGCCCTCTGTGATCAGACTGGCCTCAGAACTCTGCTCGTCACTGGACAGAGACGGACTGCGGACGTCTCCTCCTCCAGAACCAGATCCAGAGCTGTTAGCGCTGCTCGGTAACGTGACCGGGCCGGTCCCGATAGCTGAGGGCCAGGGGGGGGGGTCCTCACTGTCAGGGCTGCAGGGGCCAAAGTTTGTATGGTTTAATTACGTGTGTCTGGTAAACGGAGCAAAACTGAGTTTTAATGTGGAAAATATAGCAATACCACAAACGGCCACTAAGAAAACCATGGCTTCAAGACCGAAGACGTCTTTTTATCTGAGCGACACAAAAAACATGGCTGCCTCCGTCGAGACGACCCGCTCCTGATGTACATATAAAGTATTCCAACATAAAGTATTCAAATATAAAGTATTTAAATATAAAGTATTTAGATATAAATTTAAATATATAAAGGATTTAGATATAAAGTATTTAAATATAAAGTATTCAGATATAAAGTGTAAAAACATGAACATTTCACCTGAATCTCACACTGGACCTTTAAATCAATGAGGCCGGTACCTGAACACCTCTCGAGCCTGGCCGCTCTCAGGTGACGTCTCCCTGAAGAAGGGAACGACCCGGGACAGACTGGCCCTCCGCCGGGACGCTCCGGTTCCCCCGCTGGCCTTGTCCCCCACTCCGCCCACGAAGCCCCCGGCCCGGGTCAGCGCGGTGGTCTGCTTCTTCAGGAACTTCTCCAGGGGCTTCATCCCCGCCGGCATGGTGGGGTCAGTGGGCGGCAGGGAGAGTGGTGCTGATGGGGGAGGATGGGGAGGAGGGGTGAGGAGGGGGGAGGAGGGGTGATGGTGCAGAGACTGCGCGGAGGTGGGAGCTGCAGGAGGCGGCAGGTGTCTCTACATCCTCCGGCCCTGCGGGTCGGCCTGAGCAGGTGTGAAGCTCCGAGGCTCCGCGAGGCGTCTCTGGAACAACGAGCCGACTTTAACCCATCGGAGGCGGAGGGAGGAGGCGGTGGAGGAGGTGGATGTGGGCGGCAGAGAGAGCTTCTCTACCCCGTCTGTCTGTGTCGTATCACCGCGGTTGGTCCTTCAACAGAAGCCCCGGTGCCCCGGTGCTCCGGTCCTCCGGTCCTCCGGTGCTCAGGTGCTCCGGTGCTCCGGTGCTCCCCCGCGGCCTCAGCGTCCTGCTCCGCGCTCTCCGCGCTCTCTGCGGCCGCCGCCGTAAACACGGAGCTCCGGCACCGAGCGACACGGAAAACCCGAGAATGTCAATCCGCGGACGGAGCAGCTCCTTTCCGGCCTGAGTGCCCGCAGCTGTGCGGTGGTTCCTCGGAGGTTTGTACGGTAATGAGCCGCGGGGCGACGGTCACAGGTTCGATCCCCCCTCACACCTGAAGGAGGAGGAAAACCCGCCTGGCGCGGTGCGTTCGAGGACGGTGGGACTTCTGAGCATCAGCGGCAGGAGGGGGGAGGAGCAGGAGGGGGGATACTGCAGAGGCTGCCCCCCCCC